TTACAAAGTCTAATTCTAACATAAACAGAATAACATGGTACACTGTCTGACTGACTAAAATAAATTGTTCAAGTGTACATTTTATTAAAATTTGGGAGTCAGACCAAGTCCAAATAACTAAAGAGTCTTAATAATACAAACACAATAGTCTTTAAACTGTTTTTCATGTCTGATCTAAAGAATTTGAGCCTTCAGGTAAAACAAACCATTATTATTTATAGATAAACATACTGTATATACTTTGTATATAAGTCAGAATGATGAGTCAGGAGAAAACACATCATCATCATCCTCACAATCTGACTATGAGGACTGAGTCCATTTAAAACCCTGAGGAACTGAATTTAGTTCTTAAACGATTGTCTTGGTAAATTTTAAAATAGTATAGAATCTCTAGAAAAAAAAACTGTCATTAAAAAATGAGTGAAAGATGTTATATTTTTGTTTTTTTTTCTTCTCCCACACAGCTGGCACTGACTCCTGATTTGTTTTAAAACCAGTGTATTCCTTAAAATATTTTTTAATTCTGTCTCAATCATTATCTGCTGGCTTTATTAAATAAATAACTTTTGCTGTGAGTCATTTCATGTGAAAGAATGCAGGATTTTAATGGCTGATTAGATTTGAATCTGGACTGGAACTGGATTTATGATTTGGACTTGTTTTTTTTTTCTTTTGTAGAATCCTGAGATGAATATTGTTATAACTGGCACAATATAAATAAATTGAACTGAATTTATGTGAATTAAAAGCAGCATGTTTTTCACACATACAAATCTAAAACCTTCCAAGTCTTGACTGGATCATCAACTACTGTATTTTAAAAACACACCTCAGTTTGCTTCTATAGACAATTGTTCACAAAGAGTTTCTCATTAAAGAGTTTAAATAAATGTAAACTCACCCCCAAACACTTGGGCTCTCCTTTCTGTATGGCAGCACGCAGAGCCTGCTGTCTGCTCGTTAGCTTCACAGCATTGACATCTTCCAGCACCTGAACCGTCAGATCCCTGCAGACTGACACTGCCATCACCTGCTGAACACATTCATATTTCTAGTTCCATCTTCCATCCATCCATCCATCCATCCATCCATCCATCCATCCATCCATCCATCCATCCATCCATCCATCCATCCATC